TCTGCGTCCGCAGTGTCTTCAGTACCCTCTGTCTGGGCCGCACCCAGAAGAGTCTCCCGCATGAGGGCAGAGACAGATTTTTCGTCCGAACCCCAAGCGTCGTCTGAATCAGAGACGTCAGCCTGCCATTCGTCCAGTACTGACATGGTATGTGAAGGCCCTTGCTCTTCGTCCGAAGAGTAATCCTGACGCGGGGTCGGGGTACTAGCTTTGGCAGATTTGCGCTTGGCATGCGCCTTACCCTTAAGAGGTTTTAGTGCCTGATGTTTGCCTTTCTCATGGCGTTTCCTTGGACGGGAATCCTCCCTGGTCCGGTAGTCGGACATATCCGAATCTGAGTCCTGGCGAGGTCGCCTGCGTTTGGGCGCTTCTGCCGTGCGTGCCTTGGAGAGTGCCTTCTCCACTGAAGCAGCGACAGCTGCATTGATCATTGCTTGGAAGTCCACAGGGACATTCTGGGAGTCTTCCCTGGTAAGGGTAGGCTTATATAAATCACGGAGAGGCACAGTAAAAATGGGGCACCCAGGTCTTAAAAATATAGGCGTAGGGTCAGTTGACGTGGCACCAGTGGTGGGTAACCCTCCACCCCGTATAAAAACCCCAGCAGGGTATAGTTGGTGACCTTATAAAAAACTGGGGCTCACCCAGTTAGAGAGAACTGCAACAGCTAGTCTCCCAATAAGCAGCGTGGTACACAAGTAAGTATAATGGGGGCTCACCCCGGTTGCACAGGGTTGGTACCCTTAAGTGCAGGTCACAATAGTAAGCAGGCAGCAGCACTGACCTGACTGACCCAGCCACAGAGTATATTATCAGTGTAGGTAATCCTGGTACTCACAGTGAAGAAGTTCACAGCCACAGATTATAGGCATGCAGTGTAGGTAATCCTGTCACTTGCAGTGATGAAATTCACATCCACAGAGTATAGGCCTGCAGTGTAAGTAATCCTGTCACTCACAGAAATGAAACTCACAGTCACAGAGTATAGGCAGTATAGGCTGCAGAAGTTCACACTAGGGCTTCAGACCAGCACAAAAGCAGGTGGAAGGGAGCTAAGACAGCCAGCACTGAGTCCCCAGAGAGATCCAGGCGAAAAAACAAGATGGCCGCATGAATCTCGCGGTATTCGCGATCCAAAATGGCAGCCGCGAGTGTAGGCCGCAAGCCGGGGACTAAATTTAAGGCCGGCCGCGGGCGGGCGCCGGCCGGCGCGAAAAAGATCGCGATCAATTCCGGTCGCGAGTAGGGGGCCCAGGAGGGCACCCCAGGTAGGAAAAACCGGAGGGGAGCCTGAGGGGAGCCCAGGGGGGAGCCCAGGGAGTCCCAGGGCCGGCAGGGGCAGGGAGAAACTAAAGGGCTAAAGCCTGATTCTACTCACAGCCCTAGCCAGGCAATATAAATCACAAAAATACAGACAAGACAGTAAACAATAAAAGGCAAAGGCATTAAATAAATAATAAAACAGACTAATACAGAATAAGCAAAAAAGGCTCTGGAGGAGCCAAATAGTCTGACCTGTCTGCGTGGAGCAGTAAAGAAAGAGGAAGTGTACAGGCAGCATGACCCTTATATATACTATGCTGCTCAGTGATTTAATGTTACTCTTTATGTTTTTCTTTACTGCTGTGGAGTTTAGTAAAGAGAGTTAATGCAAAATAGGAAGCCTCCTGTCATGTAATAAAATTATGAGCATGAGTACTAGCGGCAAAGTTTGTAGGACTGGATGTGATATTTGCAGAATTTCATACTCTCAATCCAGTTCCGACTCCTCCCAGTAGAGCTGCAAATTGTCCCGTTTTTCCTGACACCCTGCTTTGCCTAAAACACTGTCACCGTTGTTCTGGACACCTTGGAGGAATAGAAGGATTATTAAAATATAGACTCTAATCTTCTCCCTTATTTGGAGTATCTTCTGGCCTTATTGCCTGTCTCCCATCCCTACTGTGATACAGCTTATACTTATCCAAGGATCCACTACAATCTTCTGTTGACACACATCATCATCCTAATACAGCTTTGCCTTGCTCTGTGGGAACACTAGATCTCATCATTAGAAAGGTATAGCTAAATGGGAGACTGGAAGACTGAGAGAAAGAACAAAACAAAAGAAAAACAAACATACATACAGATGTAGAGAGCAACACAAAATTATGAGTGTTATTGATTGCTGAGACCCCCCAATTGATCAATCTTTTCCTCCTCTCTCAACTGTTCCCTCAATGCTTTCACGTCTGCCTCCAATCTTTCAGTCTGTCTCTTTAGGTCCCAGTAGTCTCTATTCCCTTCTTTATTCCTCCAATTATCCCAATTCCATCTATTGGTCTGATGCTCATCCCATCTATGGTTCCTTCTCCAATTATTCTCCCAATAACTGTTCCTGTTGTTTCTCTGTTTTTCTCCCCAATTGTGATTTTCCCAGTTAATATCTGTCCTTTTTAGCCTCTCCCAGGTATTTTTATTATTCCAATTATTATTGATTACCTTAGGCCCCTCCCATCTATTCCTCCAATTATCTCCCATTACATTCCTATGGTCCCTCTGTGGATCTCTCCATCTTTTGTCAAAGTCCTGTTTTGGTCTCCAGTTCTCATTATCCCTCTTGTTCTGGGGTACATCTCTGGCTTCTCCATTTACCATCTATATCTCTACCAGAGTCGACCTTGAATGTTCTTATGGCTGAAACAGAGAAGGCCTGTTCTGAGGAAGGATGCTTGATCCACCAATTGTCAGCTCTAGTTAGTACCATTTCTAAGTCTGCTGGTGTTGGATCAAAAAGCCTCACAAATTCTTGACACTCCCAGGGAAGGGCTTCCATTACTTTAGTAATATGTTGTGGTGAGCCCAAGACCAGAGGCTGTTGAGGTTGGTGTAGCGTATACCAGAACAATATCCTTTGAGCTACCTCTCTAGGACCATCTGCTGGCCTCATCATAATATTAACTATTTCTTTCTCTATGCTGAGTAGATAGAAAATCGTTACAGCAATTCTTCCTGCCTGATCAGACACACTGTTATTAAATCCAAATAGTCTGCTAGCCAAAGGACCCATAGCATCTTCTAACAGTTCTGTCCATTCTTCTAAGTTAAAACCTCCTTTTTAGCTCTATTTGCTCCCCTCATAAACCAGTGTGTAAAAGTATTAAAGTTGTTATTTGGCATACTTCCCCACCATTTCTGTAAATTATCTTTGTCTGTGATTGACATAGTCCTTGTCTGTCTAGAGAAGCTAGTAGGCATTTCTCTTACATTAAAATGTTCTGTTATTATTATAGGGGCTTGTGGGACACAATTTACAATTGGCACATTTCCCTTTTGTTTTGTTCCCAGCACTGGTTCTTTACTTTCAAATATAAAATAAGACTGGTCTGGGCATACTCTAGGAATCTCCTTATCCCATTTATTTGTGTTTTCTTTAATTTTCATTTTATGTTCCATGACTAGGTCTTGGAGTTCAGTGATCTTAGCACTATATGCATCTCTCTGTTGTTCTATTTCTCTTAACTCCTTTTCTAGTTCCCCAACAATTGTAGTTGTTCTCAAAGCTGCAATTTTTAAACAATCCCTTTTGTCCATTGCTTCCTCCATTTTATTTGTTGTTTCCAAATTATGTCTATTAGGCCTCCTATTGTGGCTACAACAGCATGTGTGACCAAACTTTTTCTTTTCTTTGTTCTATACTTTTTGTTATTTACAATTTGTGTTAGAACATCCATTAATCTCTCCTCTTTTTCACTGTCTGGGTTTGCTGGCTCTGGAAGCTCATATGGACCTTCATGTTTTTGAATATGTCTCCTAAAGTACTCACGTACTTCTGTGGAAAAGTATTTGGCCCCTTGAAAAGACATTCCTACTCTTTTACTCACCCAAGTTACAACCCAATTTAAATCAATTTGCAACTAAAGTATCACGCTTCTGAATAGCCAACAATAGTTGATGTCTATTCAGTAGGCCAGGTGTAAATAGAGAAAACAAAAACCAAAACTCAATTACCTTTGTATGCTAAACACAATGGGTGGGGAACACAATATCCACAACTCTACTGTGAAGCTTGATTTAGGATTTGGCCTAAACACACGCCCAGTTTTGTTATATGTAGCAAAATAGACTAGTATCCACAATGCAAATTATATTTACCTTAGTATGGTGAAGGTAATACTTGCTAATTAACTTCAAAACCAGTAGTGCCAAAATTAGCATATTAAAATATAATAGCAAGGCCTGGAGGGTAGGAGTTATATCTGAACTAGGATATTCAAGACACATAAAGTATGGAAGCCTATAGTGTATTAAAATGCAGGCCTGAAATAAATAAAAAAAATTATAATTTCTCTAGGCCTGTACTATGATAGAATATTTGAAACACACAAAAAAACCTTTATTATACCTTTGTTTTATGTAGCAAAATAAGCTAGGACAATATAAAGGATTAATATATTCAAAATTGAGGCCTATGCTGGTACTGTATTAAAAAATGAAGGCCTGAAAAAAAACTTCTAGGCCTGAACTATGGTAATCAAATCAGCATTCAAATACACAACGAAGCGGCATGGAAGCCTATTATAATGCAGGGCTAGGCCTGTACTCTCATAGTCAAAACCCAATAAAACTCAACTCAGATATTTGAACCTGATGCCCAAGCTGGTATATTAAAATGGAGGTCCGCATTACTAGACTCCACACACAATCAGCCCTTGATTTCCCATGCAGACGATAATTAAACAAAGTACTTTTTTTTTTTTCTCCCCAAAAGAATAAATCTGACTATCTATTAATGTGTTATTACCTCATAAATAACCTTTGTAGAAGTCTAAAATTCGTGGTCACCAAATGTGGTGTATCACTAAATTAATATATATATTACACAAGGTTCGTCTACATTAAAAGGTATTTATTAAAAGGCAACAACACAATACTATAAATGTATCACAAACACACAGCCCAGACCCACGGAGCAACAACCCTTTTTAAATCTATCTATCTATATAGTAACCCCTTCCCCACACGCTTGATCTCACCCACGGTTAGGCCTTCACATCTAGTAATGGCTCACTGCTGCAAGTTCAACATCACATCCACCAAGGAAGAAAAGGAAGCAACAGAGTGTAACATGGTTCACCATGATAGCACATGGCGTCTGCACATCTGCTCTGCAGCACAGCCAAGAAGGAACAGAGAGGAATGGAGAAAGGGGGAAGTAGTTATCTCTTTCCTGACTTGTAAAGGTATTGAATTACCCAATTACCATTTCAAAAGGTAAAGCTTATCCCACTGTACATGAGCTTGGTCACGTGATCCCTGGTCACCATATTAGTTTGATGACAGAATGTCACCACACTTTGTGGTAACAGTATAGGATCAATTCTATTTCTATAGTCCATGGGTCGTCAACCTGGTCCCTACCACCCACTAGTGGGCGTTTCATGATTCCTAATGGACGGTAGGGATTTCCTCATTTTGAGGACTGGGTACCGCCATCACCATTTGCGTCAGGGCCGCCGTCCAATTAGGAGAGCACAACCCTTCTTGAGTGCTGGAAACAGCAGAGGACCAGCAGATATTGGCAGCTATCGATAAAGCCATACAGGCAAAACGCGTCTTGGAAGTGGACTATATTGGTGGACTGGTATCACTGTATATTTTAATTATTTGAATGTTTATTGTTTTAATAAATATGTTATTTTAGTGTACCAATATCTTCTGGTCCTCTGCTATTTCCTGCACTCAAGAAGGGTTGTGCTCTCCTAATTAGCACATACATCCTAACACCAAGAGCCTAGTATAGTTGGCTCCTTGCAAGGTGAGCAATCAATTTATATTATATGTGTGTTTATAGCAGTATTTTCTGGCTATACTACACAAGGAAGCTCTCTCTTGTTTTTTCCATTTGGGTGAGAATATTTATCAGTTCCTGATATACCTACATTAGAGTGATTTGAGCCTATCCATACAGGCCCTAAACCATGTGAGTGTGGTCCCTATTATTTCCTTGTGTATACCACTGGACCTTGACATACTTCACTATTTTATACATTTCTTTACTATATAGGAATCATACTATTGTACACCTCCCCAATATATATAGGGGTAAGCTCACTTTATCTAGCGCTCAAATGATACCTTTAGTGGTTGGTTCCACCTGGGTTATCGTTTTTTGTATTAGGGTAATGAGGGCCCAGCCTGTGAGCCCAGGTCTAGCCATTAAAGATCTTTTATACAGAGTATTATGCTAGATAGCCAATAAGCTTACGATCTAGAGGTTAAAATGGGGCGCTGACACAAGAGGTGGTGATTGCAGAGAGAATTAATGGTATAATTGCAGTAATCAGTAACATGTGAAGGGAATGACGAGGTAACTGAGTCTGCAGTTTGGAAACCTTGCTATAAAGTAGTGGATGTCCAGGGTGCAGGTGGGTGGGTAGGTCCTGAGCCCCCTAAAGTTGCATGGAGAGGTGGAAACAAACTGCTGCTGTTTCAATTAAATTGTAACATGTCAAGTCAGATTATATAATTGCGCAGATGACATCACCACCTGCACAGTACAGAACGCTAAAACAGGACCCACAAATTGTATGTACGTTTATACATAAATACATATACAAGCTTAATTCACTGTAAAAAAACATATAAGAATAATATTTACTAATCTTTATTGAAACTAGTAAATTGTAAAAAAAAAAAAAATAACAGGACATAAAGGAGACTTAAAAGATTGCCCTGAGCAAAGCTATATGTTGTGCAAATATGTATAGAGGAGAAACGAATGATAATTAATGATTATTGCTATTATTAGTTTTAATTGCCTGCGCCACGTGTGTAGTTTTCTTCGGTATAATTGACAGTTTGACCTGGAGCATTTAAAATGTAAGCCTTTCATTGTAAAAACGAGCACATTAATTAACGCCGTGTTGTGACCGGAATGACAGGTCAGACTGTGTGATTGGGAGAGAGGTTTGTGGAATGTGAAAGTCTGCAGATGCACACCACGTCCCAATTTAGCCTTGTCATCGCACAGCGGCACACGCTAGCTGTAATTTGATGCAATATCACTATCTTTCTAGTGCATTATGCAAGCTCTTTATTTAAATGTTACTTTTGTCATTCGCAAGGTCACAGACGGTACGGCAAGCCTGTTGTATTTTAATAATAAAAAAGTCAGGTATCAACTCATTAAATGAGAAGTAGACAAGTTAATTTGAATTTCACACTCTACGTCTGGATTCAAATTAGGTGAGATATGAGATAAGACATTTTCAGTTTACATTTCTATAATATATATTAAAACGTGAATCTCTGCAGAAATATTTTCTGTGAATGAGCTGCATGTTCAATGATCATTGCGTTCTGCAGACACGTAGGGAAAGACATGGCAATATGGCGGCATCTGCTTATCCTTACCTGAGTCGGACGTGTCACCTTTACAGTATGTGATGGTCATCATTCAGATACTTAGAGACAATTCCACAGCAACCTTTACTTCCAACAGAAATATTTCAACTGCAGTCAGAGAATGGGGACCAGAGCAGTCACAGGTACACGGCAGCAGCAGCTTACACAGTATTTACAAGTGGTGTTATCCAACAGAAAGCATTGCGGTTTGTAAAGGCGTTACCAAATTGGGTGTTTCACTACTCAAACTGTTCATCTTGTGGGTATTTCTTTGCCTGTCTATGTGTCAGACACAAATTACAGAAAGAGAAAAACAACTCTATATAAGGTTGTGAAACAAACTATAACTTGGATGCATGATAAACAAGTAGATACAATGAGATTTGCACAAAATGGTTGTGCAAATGTCAATACATTCTGCATCGCAGCCCCCCAAATAAGATTCAGTTTATGGAGTGACGTACCTCACGACATTGGTAGCTATGGAATAAGGATGGGTGGGACAGTCTGTGAGGTGGCACTCATCAGAATGGCACATACCCATTTCTGCTAAGGATATGGGTCTTGAATTGCTACTCAGATAAGAAAGATCTACACATTTCTGTACTGATTTGTAGTAATGAATACATTGGGGATATGCGATTCAGCAGAAATAGTTTTTAATGGACCATCACAACCTAACTCTTTGACCTTGATGGGAATGTCTCTCCAGCCCAATATCATGCTGTTGGTTATAAAACAGGCAGTTAGGACACCATTAGGCATGCATGAAGCATAGTTACATAGTTACATAGTTAATTAGCTGAAAAGAGACTTGCGTCCATCAAGTTCAGCCTTCCTCACAAATGTTGTTGCTGTTGATCCAAAAGAAGGCAAAAAACCTGGTCTGAAGCGCTTCCAATTTTGCCATAAACTAGGAAAAAATTCCTTCTTGACCCCAAAATAGCAGTCAGATGTCTCATTGGATCAAGCAGCTATTACCCCACTAATTAGAAATTATATCCCTGTATGTTATGTTTTTGTAAGTATTTATCCAATTTCAGTTTAAACATCTGTAGTGACTCTGACAAAACCACCTCTTCAGGCAGAGAATTCCATATCCTTATTGTTCTTACTGTAAAAAAAACCTTTTCTTTGCCTTAGATGAAATCTCCTTTCTTCCAGCCAAAATGTGTGACGTCATGTCCTATGTATAGCCCTGTTTATGAATAGATTTCCAGATAAAGGTTTGTACTGGCCTCGAATATATTTGTATAAAGTTATCATATCCCCTCTCAAGCAGATAGGCACATAGTATCGGTGACATAGCCAATATATGGTGATTGTCAAGAAGTCGGAAGGGCTAAGAATCTGCATAGATCCACAAACACTATATCAGGCACTGAGACAATCTGGTTACATCAACACTGGAGAATATCTTGTATAAGTGACTCAATGTTTGTTCGATATAATGCATGTTTTACTATTTTGCAGTATAATCGGATTGATGAGAGCAATTTTCTGGACCCCATGGCTCCAATTTCCTTTTTGAGTCTGTAACACCTGAGGAATACGTTGTGGCATATCAAAGTACACAAGAGGGATTCTTACCTGGGCTCAATAAACCGATAATGGATTTCATTCTTGTGATGAATCTGAGAGAAATCAGAGTTTAATAGGACGTTGCTGCCATGTTTGAATCATAACAGGAAATTGAAATGCAAATTCATCTTGAATAAAGTGCTATTTATGGTCAATCTGGTTTGCTTCTGTGGCTACATCTACTGTTTTAGAAAAAGCTGGACCAGAGATGATTAGAGGTCTACTGGAGATAACACAGCCACCTTATTCAGAATGTGTTACTTATCTGGCCAATTCCATTACATGTGTCTACGTCCTGGAGATGTCTATTGTATAACACAGTTTGGCGCTGGCTTCCTGAGCATGCTGGGACATCAAGCACTTTTTCTGCAGTACTTTGAAACTACAAACCATCACCATTCACACCAACACGAGCAAGTGTGGACTTACTGCAAGTAGGAAAATCAGCACTTTCACGATTACCTCGATGGCAGCACCATGGTTTCTGGCAACAAAATATTGCTATATATTTTAACGATCATTCAAAACACTGAGAGCAAAATGTTGGCCATTGGTTATTATGGAAGACTCCCAGCACTGATGTTCTACCCAGATCAGGAGCTATCGTTGCTGGTGGGCGATACGGAACATTCTGGGACACAATAAGCATTCCCAGTGGCATTTCTGTGAATTGAGGATTTTGATTAGTTTTGCTTGATTTTGTCATCTTACACTTTCTACATGCAGTGAATTAATGTGTATAATTTATCAATTACCTCTACAGCCGCATCTCTAACTAGTTTTGAGAGTCTAATTTATTTCCAGTGTGGTTAATTATACAGCCCAGATTAATTTGTCTATTATTAGAACCTGGGGATATGTAAATGGCCATCTATCAAGGTCTGTGAGATTTTTATTTATTTTTCGAGGTTTGAGGCGGCATGTTGAGTGATCTGCTGATAAAGTCTAAGGCCATACAAGCTCTGTATCCCTAGCCCATCGTTGTGTCCCTAGCCCATCGTTGTGTCCCCAGCCCATCGTTCTGTCCCTAGCCCATCGCTGTGTCCCCAGCCCATTGCTCTGTCCCTGTCCCATCACTCTGTCCCTAGCCAATCTATGTGTCCCCAGCCCATCACTCTGTCCCTAGCCCATCACTCTGTCCCCAGCCCATCGCTGTGTCCCCAGCCAATCGCTCTGTCCACAGCCCATCGCTCTGTCTCCAGCCCATCGCTGTGTCCCGATCCCATCGCTCTGTCCCCAGCCATCACTCTGTC